CGAACCCTTGATTTTAGCGTTGTAAATACGAAGACTTACCGCTGTCCCACTGGGGGACAATACATAACGAGCTACTTAATTTAGTTTGTCGCTTGTTAACAGTAGGCAACTTGACGGTGAAACTGACAATTTACTGAGTAGAGCTGATGATGACATGAACTAAGGATTCGAGATAACCTTGTGATTACCAGTTTGAAGAGTCTTCCAATAAAAACAAAATACTTCTTTTATTCTCCTCCCAATTGCGAGCTTGTTTTAACATTTTGTTTTTACTGGGCTTAAGCTTAAGAAATCTTGTGTTAAAATTAGATAAAATGTACACCTTGCTCTATATATATTGATTTGAAAAAAAAATCAGATATACTGAATCTTTTTTATCTTATCATTGACACCGATCATCGGTAGTGCATAATCCAGAATTGAGTGGATAAGAATTTGATAAAGTAGAAACTGGTAACGTTCCACAGCTTTGTTTCTTGCTGCCACTTTCAATGCATTGATGTATTCGGTAGCCCTGATTATCATAGTGTTAATGTGGCTGGTATCTCAAATCAAAACCACATCTAATAAAAAACTTAAAATCTAAAAAGTGTTCGAACACTAGAATTGACCAAAAACACTTTAAGATAAAACTTCAATAACTGCCAATTTGAAAATCTAAAAGGATAAATTTATCGAAGAAATTTTAATTAAATGTTCATAAGTTGTTGTGAAGATATGATTATCATGCATTTACGTACCCCCGAGAGAAAACCCAATAAATGTCTTTTTTTATATAATGAATCATTTTCAAGAGACTTCCAATAATACTAAACAATGGTCTCTAATATGATGTACTTTTTGGGTACAGAATCTTTTTCGACAATGGGAGACTTCCGTAGGTTTGTTTGTTTGTTGTTAAATTTCACGCAAAGCTGCTCGAAGGCTATCTGTACTAGCCGTCCCCAATTCAGAGTTTATAGACTAGAGGGAAGACAGCTAGTTAATACCGCCCATCGCCAACTCTTGGGCTACTCTTTTATCTAAGTAAAGTGGGATTAACCATCACATTATATCGACCCAAGATTGAAAGCGCGAGCATGTTCAATGTCGGGATTCAAACTCACGACATGCGTATTGCGAGTCGAGCGCCCTAACCTCCTGGACAATGTTTTTTAAATGGTCACCGAATAATTTTCAATAATGGTGAACTTTTGATGGTCCTAGACAACGCCTTAAAATGATAAACTTCCTGATCAACTTCGTAAATAACAGTATCATTCACGATTGTAATATCTATATTTTTTATTGACATTAAACACGAAAAGAGTTCGTGAAAAATACTTTACATTTTATCAAGTTTCTTACAGCTTGTTTCTTACGTTATTTGGTACTTCGTGATTTATTCGCTTCTTTTGGATTGGGCAAGATTACAAATAAATATTTAAATGTACCTTTTCTTTTCATTATCTGTACATCGTACAAAATTATATAAATGTTTGTTTGTAGTTAAGCACAGAGCTACAAACATACCGCTGTGCCACTGGAGGGTTAATATAAATGAATATCAGTTTAGGTTCATCATTTGCTTTATAGGTTTGCTATATATTAAAATAATTCTTCATTTTCTAAATGTTTCATTTTATTTCTCTCTCTCTCTGGTCATATATTTATTACATATTAATTGTATCAGTAAATTGTCATTAGAGCAGTAAATTATTTGGCCTTTAATACAATTGTTTTATACTCGACGTTATAAATTAAACATTCATCTCCCTCCATCTTATTTTTTGATTTATTTAAACTAAATACAATGTTACAGTTTAAACTCCGAAAGCCGATGAAGTATAGGAAAACCAATAGGTCTTGTAATTTCTCCATTACGATTCAAATTCAGAGGTGTGTGTGTATAAAGATAACATTTCAGATTTATGTTTTGTCTCTCAAGTCACTGCCTAAGAAACCTTTCGCTCAATACCGTAACTCATTTAAATATAATGTTATTAAATTCATCAGCATAACAGTGATTATTATTATTATCTTGTTAGTTTTCGAATCCTTAATCCTTAAATATACTTCCTCATGAATAAATAGTTAGAATAAATCTACTGTTTTAATACAATTACAATCCACTATTAATCACTGTTTTTGTAAAGCCCAAAGCGCCATCAGATAAGTTAATTTGTAAATCTTGAGTTCATCATACGAAACCATTAACCTGTTAAGGGTGTAGCATCCAAACAATTTTTATTTACATTCACAAAAAATAACAATAAACAAAATATCAGTCTTAAAGCAAATTGGCCTCTGTATATCGAAACCTCACGTGTTCACGTGCATGTTATTAGTTAGAGTGTCCTACGCTTGCACAGTTCTTTCTCACTGGTATTGGCTGAAAATATTGTGAAAGGTACTTTTATGATATATTTATATTCTACTTTGTATAAAAACATAAAAAGATGCTCTAAGCGTGTTATTTATATTGTCGACTCAACCTTTAGTAACTTCATGAAAAGCAATAAAATTACTTCTGCTAATTCGTATATATTTCAATGTTCAGATTAGTTGTCATTCATGTGGTAGTGTGCACTGTGTTCAGTGTATCCATATGCAATTTTTTGAATTTCGCGCAAAACTACACGAGGGTTATCTGCGCTAGCCGTCCCTAATTTAGTAGTGTAAGGCAGCTAGTCCTCACCACCCACCGCCAACTCTTGGGCTACTATTTACCAACGAATAGTGGGATTTACTGTCACATTATTA